GTTACTGGTAACAGTATGGCTTGGCTGTTGACAAAAAGATAGCTATCAAAATCGTAATTGCGAAAATACAATGTAGCAAAAGATCGTGCAATACCTGTGTGCTTCCTGTCTGAATTGCACCTGCAATGGCAGTTCCAGCATTAGTGAGTACATCTACAAATGTTTCTYTCTTTGTTGGTCGTTTTGCTGGATTGGCGGTGAACATTGGAAGACCGGGAATACTGTCTTTACCGGCAGTTCCAACACGCTACAATGTAGATTATAGAAAAATAATCAGTTCAATCACGCATATGGAATTCACACTTATTGCACGCACACGGTGTGCTATGCCGTTTGTTAATATCAATCAAAAGACGATGGATTGGTAAATGAATTGATCAATSTGGATGTTAGAGTGTGATGCAAAAAAATTTCTTACTATCATTTCAGCCCACAGGCGAAACTTGTACGGCGGGAGCACGTTTCCATGCATCTTTTTTAGCTCATCCATTATTTCAATAACTTGTTCGTGTTTGGTGGTCTGGTCTACAGTGCTTTCATGGCTTCCTGAGACATAAACAAGCCAGATAGTAATTATTAGATAGTGTATAGCGGCAATAAACCATCAACAATCAAATAATATTTTCGGCTGTTGGTTTTTATTTATCAGTACTATTGAATTGAATTACTCTGCGCGGAACCTTAGACTGAATACTCTTAATGGAGGAAAAAAACACTACAAATAATATTATTGTATACCTACTTTTTCTTCCAGGTGTGCACCCGCCGTCCTCGTTTGCCCTGTTTTGGTTCTTTAAAGCTGGATCAATCCACATTTGGTTGCCATTTATGAAATAGCCATACGCAATTTCTAAATCTTTCGTCGAAACAATGGAAATCTTTTTCTTTCTTGCCAAAATATAGCCGAGCTGACAGTCTTGCAGAACGTTCTCTAAGTCTGGTAAAGCTTTCACTAGCTCAGAACGTAGCTCTGAAACGGTCTCTAACACTGGAAAATTGGGTAAACTTCTTACAACGTAGCTAGACTTCTTCTTGGAGTCCAAAACCCGAACTTCTAAAGTCGAAAGAACTTGTTTTGAATTACCCGCCGTCGACATTTTCTGCCACGCATGTGATGCAGCACGTTCAGATTCCTAGTTCCACACGCGCGTAAAACTGAATATTTAATGGTATTATTATTAATTTAATGGAATATTTATTGTCCTATAAACCTCTTTTCACTTGGACAACGTTTTTGGGATCGACTGTATATGGGAACCTGGATGAACTCGTTCCGGAACGAAACTCTTAGACCGGTATCCGTTAAACGGCCCCTTATAATTTGAGTCTTGAAAAATTTCCTATCCACGACGTTTTTTTTTTAATGCCAAGCTTTCGTCCATAAGTCAGAAAAAATACTCTGAATCTTTGTTTCCCTAGCTACGTTATGGACTAGCAATACATTTAAAATTCTATTCTTAAAATTGTAATTATAATAAACCTAAATGACAAAATAATGTTGCTCTCTTGCTCCAGTTCTTCTTGGTTGCACAAGAGAATTAGTCCCTATGAACAGAGCCTCAGGTACCAAAAGGATACATTAATTTTTTTCCGACTTATTACTTGAAATAGTTGTGGAAAGCGCCATTGAGCTTCAACATATCATTAAGGGAAAAGAAGTCATCGTACAGCGATACCCTGTTGAAACAAGGATACCAGAGGTAACAAATTTTTCTAGGCATGTCTAGTAATCATGATGCAGTTCTTTGAGGACAACATGATTATCAGTATATTTTGAGATTTATGAATTTAATTCAAACTTAAGCCGTTATAAAAATATGAATATATATAATATTGATTCTACATGGAATAGGCTGTTCAATGAACCGGAAAAAATCATTGAATATACAAGTATATTTCATATTTGAAATACATCATTGCTTTAACATTGCTTTTATAAAAATCATTTCAAGTTAGTTTTCACATAGTAGCCGGTGTTGTTTCGAATTACAAGTGCATAACAAATTAACATAAATGCCTCGTCACAGTCATTTGCTTATGATGGCATAGAAAAACCTATAAAACTTCAGGAAGGCGCACTCAAACTATAAATTTTTATCGGGTCATTCAACAGCTTCACCCATGTAGAATAGTGAATAATGAGAATACTGTCCGAAGGCTGATGGGCGCTTTAAACATTGTATAATAAAATAGTTATTGAATTCGGTTTTGGTGATTTCAAACTGATTGTTAAAGTGCTACTTGGACGAAAGTCGCTCCAAAATTAAAACTCTTTCATTCGAGCTGGAACTTTGCTGAAATAATCTTGAATACATTAAGAACCACTCACTAAAATATCTTTCTGATATTCGAAAGGAAAGGGCCAAAATTTTACGATTTATTTTCGTCCGCCATTAATTTCTTGTTACAAGAATTCGGCTCAAGAAGACTGGCACGAGTAACGTATGACGTCATAGATTCATCCCAAACCAAAACATTGGTGGCTAATGTAGGTACCATGTTTGTAAAACTCGGTTTATTTGGCTTATTCAGAAAATATATAATGTTTCTTCGATTCCTTAACTACTATATGACCAAACAGTGTCTAGGCGCTGAAATGTTTTTCCAGTTTTAATAATATTGACGATCATAATTGGGAAATTTCAATACATCTCGGCACGCCAAGAATCACAACAAAGTTCAGGACGCATGGGAGAGATTCTGGCGGCTCAATTTTGTTTTGCCTGCCATTCCCAATGCCGGTTGAACGAATCTAATGTCGCCATTTTCTGAGCAACCAAAGTGTATCAGCTTTGTAGAAGAAGGAATAGATGCGCGTTTAAATAAAGTGTTCCTATTTGCATTATAATAAGAGTAATTGAATAAACAGTAATGATAAAAGGGTAAATTATACACCCGTGAAAAGATGAAAATACTTACTGACGTTTCGGACGCGGTGTATAATTTCATCATTACTGTATCATTAGAAACACCGATGCAGCTCACACTAGTTTTAGCTCATATCTCTTCTAATTGAATAAACACTATCTTTTGCAGATCTTTTCTCTCGTAGATGTAAGAATCAATCTTAAAGTCTTTGATGGCTCCATTTTCGTATTAAAAGAAGTGCTCACCTATCTAGAAAGTGAACTTGGAATTGAATATTACGAGAATAGATATGGATATTCAATCCGTGGATCATACAAGCAAATTAAATCATGTCGTAAATATATCCAGGATAATATTCGTATTGGCATGATCTCACAACAGATGCCAAGAGGATGTGCTATCTATGGCGAAGCTGAAGAGGCTGCGTCACCTGAAGAAAGGGGTGCCACTTCAAGATCTACTGAAACAAATGATTACAAAAAAATAGATGCTATGTTTTTCCAGTCTGTTCCTATAATCTTGCAATTTATCTTTACTGTCTCAAAGTATGCAAGGAGAATCCAAGATATTGAGTCAGAATTCAATGTCAAAATTGGTGCWGTTGATGGTGGGTCAAAAGTGTYAATCAKMCCATTGCCAGGATGCACGCAGACAAAACATCATGATGCCTGTGAGGAATACATTGAACTATACAAAGAGGTCTRTGACAGTCCCAAAATGTCTAAGAATCTCCTTCTCAGACCAGGCATCGGTTCAGACTTCTCGGTTAAAGAGGTAGTAATGAAAGTATTGCGAATGGAACCAGTTGCCTTTCAGGAGATGGAGGAACAAGATGAATGGCTGATTTACGGGGAAGAGACGAATGTAAGGTCTGCAATCAACGCAGTATGCAACATGTTGAAGATTGATAATCCGCTTCGAAAAACTCGTAAAGCAAGAGTACGACAAGTTACAGAGAACGATGCTGGTACAGCTCATAGCCTCCCGAAGCAATCGGGGAATGACAAGGCAGAGGAACATGCAGTGCAGAAACATCCCAATAACGTAAGAAGTCATATTCATAAAGACTTCCCAGAACAGCCTTGTGTGGTTCAAACAAAGAAGGGATTCCGGTGGACGGTTTACCAGGGAGACATAGTTGAAGAGCGAGTTGACGTCATTGTCAGCATCACTGACGATTCTCTTGGATTTTTTGCGGGATTATCTAAAGCAATTGTTGATAAAGGAGGACGCACAATCGAAAAGGAAATTGTAGCCGAAAGTAAACGGAAAAAGATAAAGCCAGGCAACATAATCGTGACAGGACCAGGAAATCTGCATTGCTTGAAAATTCTCCATTTGATCACTAACAGACAAAACAAAAGAACCAAAGAAAAGTGCAAGTCGATTGCCAACGCAGGGTGTTTGGATTGCCTGAAACTCGCACAAAAACAGAAACTAACTTCCATTGCTTTTCCAGCTTTGGGAACAGGGYYACAAGRWATAACCCTAGACACCTGTGCAACAGCTATGCTCAATGCTGTTGAGGARTACATGAAAKRYAATGATCCSAAARYMGRYGCCGTTGCCGATATACGATTTGTCCATTTGGATGCCCGTGCAGCTGAGGAATTCAAAACTGAAGTCACAAAAAGATACGGGGATTCCATCGTGAAACCGTCTGGAGAAAAAGGCTACGGTAGACACACCGATTATGAGACTTTATCTCCCCCTTCACCAGATTATAAAGTTGTATCATCAGTTGGTAAGTTTAAAATTTGTGTACAGACATAGCCCTCTCCATGCAAAAACACAGTTTAATAGATTTGAGACCGCCGTATGTAAAATAAAGATGTAAACGAGCAGGCCGGCAGTTCCAAAGTGAAAAAAACTCTCATATTGTATTTCTATCTTGATTTATTTGAATTTTCAGTCGTTTAACTGATTCATATTCATATAACAGTCTTATAACTAACTCTTGCTGATACACATTTAAGGAATGGATCATAAGTAGCGTGCATCCATCGAGTTATGGATGCACGCGGGAGGTTGCTAAGCACGAAGAAAAGCGTAAGAGCTGCACGACGCGAAGCGGAGTGCAACTCTAGCTTTTTTGAGTGCTTAAGCAACCTCCCAAGTGCATCCATAACTCGATGGACGCACAGCTACTTATGATCCATTGCTTTTTTATAATATAGTCCAGTCAACAAACAAGAAATGAATACAAAATATTCTTCTTAGGCACCTTGCGTGAATGAAAAGCACAAAGGCGCCAAAAACAGAAAAACAGTCGTTTTGAAAATGGCAGCTTTACACTGAAGACTGTTATGACTAAAGTAATGGCAAAAATTTAGCTTACAAGTGAACCAAAAATGTCCAAAACTACGGAAAAAGTGATTTTTAACTGTAAGAAGTGCATTTCAAATGTTGACATATATCTTAGTACAGGGCCGTAGCCACCAACGTTTGATTGGTTCGGTTTTCAAGGGAGGGGGGAGGGGTAGGGGGTAGGTGGAGAGGAACAAGGAAAAGTATAGGGAAAACCTCCTACGCTTAATATCTTTTAAAACCCATCCTAAAGTACTCAGATTTTGAATGTAGTTGCGAAAGTACTTTTTCTTGACTCGTTCTTTAGTATGTATTCATTTGCAACATATTTTAAATCAAGCTCATCTGTGACATCCTGGTGGTAATGTAGTATCATCAAATGATTTAATCTTGATTGAGCCATTGTACTTCGGAGATATGTCTTGATGCGTCGCAGTGCATTGAAAGACCGCTCAGATGTTGCGTTTGTTGCAGGAGGAACGTTCAATAGGCGAAATAACTTGCAAGCTTCATGTAGAATACCCCTTTGAGCAGAAGATAAACTAAGAAGGGTTGTCTTGACATTCTCTATGTTAGGGTTTTCGTTGTCGCCACGAACAGAGAAATACAATTGCCTGAGAGTTCACAATTGAGTTTCTAAGGCTTTCTTATCAAAATCATCATGAAAAAACGTACAAACGTTGTCTAGTTCTTCTTTGAAGCACTGTCCTTGACAGGCTTTACAGAGAAGCTGCTCCAAATAGACGACTTGCACTAAGAGGTCACGTGATCAAATCGGCCATTGTGGCTGGCATTCTACAGGATTTTAGCTATGCGAGAATGTAAAAAAAGATGGCGGATTCGGGTAGTTTTTTGGGTGACAAAAGGTAAGTTAGCGCACTAAATAACTAAAAAATCCCCTTTTCTCGCAAGAAATATATTCTTAGTAGATGTCTAAAGTAGATTTTTGCTATTAACTAGCCAAAACGAGAAAAAATATGGTATTTTGTGCGCTACAATGTGAAGACCTACGAAGTGTTTAGTCTTGTTTTGCCGGCTTCATGACCTCAAAACAACGACTTCTTGTCGAAACCTTTCAAGTATATTTCAACTTCATTCTTGAAAACTGCATTTTTCTTGAAAGAAATATACTTTTAATAGATATTTTAAGTATRATTTTGCTATTCATTCGCCAGGAAGAGGAAAAATATTGTATGTTTTGAAGTCATGAAGCCAGCAAAACAATACTAAACACTTCGTTGGTCTTGACATCCTATTTCAAAAATATCATATTTTTTCTCTTCTTGGCTAGTTAATAGCAGAAATCTACTTTAGACATCTACTAAGAATATATTTCTTGCGAGAAAAGGGGATTTTCATAGTTATTTAGTGCGCTAACTTACCTTTTGCCACCTTTTTTTACATTCTCGCATAGCTAAAATCCTGTAGAATGCCAGCCACAATGGCCGATTTGATCACGTGATCCCTTAGTGCAAGTTGTCTATTAGCGAATGTCTCGAAGCCTTTCTGATTGAATCGTGTACGGATACTCGTCACAGCAAGGTCAATTGCTTCAAAATATACACGATGGTATTCATCTTTGGGCGAAGATGGAAACTCTGCTTCTGCGTCTCCTTGTTCAAATCTTTTCGGGGTTTTTCTCTTTCTTGCCAACTTTGGTTCATCGACTTCAAATTCACCCCTTCGTTCTTCCACTTTTTGCCAAAATAAGTTAAAGTTATCATCAGTGCGCAAGCTTTCGAATGTTTGAATGGTAATCATTGCTATTTTATGACCCTCTACACTTGTCAACTTGGGATTCTGAAGTGTCTGACTCAGTTTGTCGGTGTGCTGCAAAATCATTTCAGCGAGAATCAAACAAAACAAATTTTTAATGATCTCATCTGATTTTGAACGCCTTGAATTCTAGCCTTGATTTCAGTGTCACATTTTCCTGCCAAAGCGGTTTCCCACAAAAGATTGATATTGTCATAGTTAGATAATATAATACTTGCAAGAGATCCGGCGCGGACTGTCCATCTCGTCGGGCATAGAGTTCGGACACCTTCCGCATCACTTTATGTCTCTTGCTTCAAAGTATTTAGCATTGCTTCGCGCTTCGGAGAAAACTTGATCAATTTTACCACCTCGCAGCAAGTATCCAAACAGTCCTGCAAAATTTTGCATTGCTTCATTTTGTCATTAACGCTAAGACTAAGTGCATGAGCAAAACAGTGGACAAAAACAGCTCGCGGTTACAAAGCAGAAATTTTGGCAGCAGCTACCCCATTTTTGGCACCAGCCATCGTACTGCAGCCATCATAGCATTGGCCTCGAAGCTTACAAAGAGGGATCTGGAATCTAAGTAGGGCATCTTTAATGGTGTCAAATATGCTCTGCGCATTGGTGGAATCCATACTATACAACCCAAGAAATTCCTCTAACACTTCAAAGTTATCATCAACAGATCTCATTACTTTCGTTAACTGCTCTATGTTTGACTTGTAGGTTGTTTTATCAACCATTATGGACAGGAATGACGAGAATTGTAATTTTAAAATCACCTGTCTTAATGCACAGTTAGCCATCGACTTAAGCATTTCATTTTAGTTTTCTGGAGACACGTGCTTACGGACAGACTTATTTAGCCACTCATGAAAAGACAAATTATCTTCAGCTCTTAAGCRAAGCAGTTGCATGAAATTAGATGAATCGTCATTGTTATTGCCTCGAAGTGCAAGTCCTTGCCTCGCAAGAAATCGGAGGCATGGCAAAATAATATTAAGCATGTCCCTTGCTTGTGTTATGAGAGAGAAAATTAATGTTTTTACAGACTAAGCTAGACATCAGTTTTCTAATTACTATTTCTTATCGTATGAAAACAAGATAAA